GAGATAGGAGTCTCGCGGTCTCTCCTGCCCAGGCTGGCTTTGAACCGCGATCCTCAGATCTCAGCCTCCTGAGTAGCTAGGATTACAGGCGTGAGCCAGCAGCCCCGGCTCATGACACTCTTATCTCCAAATAACCACCAGAAAACCAGAAGTGGTGCTTGTGACTCAAAGTGGTAGAGCACTAGCCTTCAGCAAAAAGCTCAGGGACAGCACCCAGGCCCTGACTGACAAAAAAGAAAAGGAATAGGGGGTGACATTGATCAAGATGGATTGTATTCATAAACTGCTTTGTACAACTACTTAAAATATTTAAAGAGAATATTTAAAAAGAAAAGAATATATTGGCACCAAGCACCAGTGGCTTACACCTCTAATCCTAGTTACTCAGGAGGCTGAGATCTGAGGATCAGGGTTGAAAGACAGTCCAGGCAGACAAATCTTATGAGACTCTTGTCTAATTAACCAGCAAAAAGGCTAAAGTGGAGATGTGGCTCAAGTAGTACAGTGACAGCCTTGGGTGGAAAAAGACAAGTGAGATCACAAGGCCCTGAGTTCAAGGGCAAGTACCAGCACAAAAACAAGAACATATTGACACCAGGCATAGTAGCACAAATCTGTAATCCCAGAACTCAGAAGAGTGAGGTAAGAAGATTATGTATGCATCAAGGCAGTCTGGGCTATAAAGAAATAATATATGAGTCTTTAGAGCTCAAAGTCAGAATGCAAGCAAAGATTTATGTAAAAGACCTCCATCTATTAGTAGAGAGCTGGCTTCCAAGCACTAGAGTTTTTAGCTTTGTGTAGAAAAGAAACCTAAAAGGTTTTCTTACTCTACCATTAGCTGCTAAGGGTTGCACACATTGATGGCACATTAGAACTTAAATCCTGTTTACAAACATCAGTTAAAGAAAACTCAACTGGTTGGCCATACTAATGAAGCCCAAAGAAAATTCAAAACAAAATAAAACAATAAATCCATCAAGTTCCTTCCACATAGGGTACACACATCAAATTACCTATTTTATGAATGATGGAAGGAAATAGCAAACAGAACAGCAAAGCATGTATTACTGAGCACCTCTATTTGTCTGGAGAATATAAAAAGGAGAAAAAAAAGTACAGTGGAAAAGAAAAAGAATGATAAAGGTGAAAAGGTAGATTGATCCATATTGTGTAATAAAAAATGTCTTGAAAGTTATTTAACACTGGTAAAAGATTGAATTGTGGTGAGGCCTAAAGATTAGCCCTAAATTCAATTATAAAAGTGGGGAGGGTATAGTTTTTTGGGTTTTCTTTTTTCTTTTTTTTCTTTTTCTTTTTTTTTTTTTTTGGTTGTGGGTCTTGAACTCCAGGCCTGGGCACTGTCCCTCAGCTCTTCAGCTCAAGGTGAGCACTCTACCACTTGATCCACAGTGCCACTTCCGGTTTTCTGGTAGTTTATTGGAGATGAGAGTCTCATGGACTTTCCTGCCCAAGCTAGCTTTGAACCTCCATCCTCAGATCTCAGCCTCCTGAGTAGCTAGGATTATAGGCATGAGCCACCAGCACCCAGCTGAAGTATAGTTTTGTTAGTAGATGAATTGGAAGGTTGGTATGCTGAACTTGAGTTCAATGAGTTTACTTTGTGTGTGTGTGTGTGTGTGTCAGTACTGGTGCTTGAACTTAGGACCTGGGTGCTTTTGTGCTTAATGCTAGTGATATATCACTTGAGCCACAGCTCCTCTTCTGGTCTTTTTGGTGCTTAATTGGACATAAGAGTCTCACAGACTTTTCTGCTTGGGCTGGCTTTGAATCATAACCCTCAGATCTCAGCCTCCTGAGTAGCTAGGATTACAGGCATGAGCCACTGGCACCTGGCTTGAGTTTACTTTTTAATAGTGGCAAAACTCATGGCTCTTGTGTCTCTAGGGATATGAATAACAGCTATCTTTACCTTAATTATAATCTTCTTGTAGATAACAATGTGCATCAGCACTTTGATTTCAAAGCAATCTGATGATTTTTCTTTGTAGTGCTGGGGATCAAACCCAGAGCTTCACATAAGCTAGGCAAAGCACCCCACCACTGAGCTACATCCCCAGATTTATCTGTTTTTAAATTTGCCTTTTATTGCTTACTGTGTGCTAGAATAGTAACAGCCTCCGGCACCAATTCATAAAAACCACATATATGGTAATAAATGTATTGTCTTCGATCGACAGAAAAGGAAAATCATGGAAGCATCACATTTCCTCAAAAAGGGTTCATTCTACACTAACAAAATTGCAATGTGAATTTCATAATGAATATTATGCTTCATTTAAAGGCTCAGCTTTAAAAAAAAATGCCAGTGCTGACAATACACAAAACAGTAATGAGCAACAAGCATTGAGTATTGCATATCCTCGAGAAAGTATAAATTCACTACAATAATACCCAAGACACAAGACATAACCATTTCTTGCAATTTTCCCTAAAACACAAGGAACAAAATAGCAGCTGTGAAATCACAGACTACTAAAAAAAGCTCAGTGTCTTTAAAAAAAAAAAAAAGAAGAAGAAGAATTAAAACTATCTTTTAATCAGCAACAAATGCCCTCCCTCCCTCCCCCCCCCAAAAAAAAAACGACGCCTCCACAGAGTAGTCTTTTATGGGAGGGTACACAGTTGGAGAAACACCAGGATGACAGTCACTATCATGTGGCCAGAAACCAATCCTCCAGCAATTTGGCGCACGTGAGATCACTTTCTCTCTAACCACCCCCCCCCGCCGCCCCAAGAATGTCTATTCTTGGGGAGAAAGACCCTGTTTGGGCAAAGCCTCCCCGGGGATAACGGCCTGGTGACGACATCGAGAGGCCAGCCCGGCTCCAGGCTCCGCACAGGTACAGCCAGCCAGGGACATCTTTCCAAGCCGACAGATGCGCGAACTGCAAAAGGAGGTCACGACGCTGAGATGGCTTTAACCCTTCGCTCGCGGGGAACCGTGGAGATTAAGGGGGACAGGCACTGAGTCTGGGGCTGGGGAGATTTTTTTTTTTAAATGATGCAGGTGACTATGGCGGGAAGGCCTTGAAGAGCAGCTTGACTCCCTCCACCCTCAGATCTGCCGGACTTCTTCCAAACAGCCCTAGCTCCCTGCTCGCGGGGAGGGGGAGATGCCAGCCGCAGCTGCGCCCCAACACCTTTCGCCCTCTGAAACCTGCAATTCCCTCTACCTGGATTCCAGGCAAAGCTCCCGGGCAGTGACAGGCCGGAGGGGCCGGGCGGCAGAGACACCCGGCGCCTAACTTTGAAACGCTGCCCCCCGTGCACCCCACCCCACCTCAGTCCTCACCAGCTCCCCGCCGCCGCCCGCCCGCCCCGGGCTCCTCAGGCCGCATCCCGGCTCCGGCCCTCAGCGCCAAGCGTGCACACGGGACCCCCTCAGCTGCTAGCGGAGCCCGCGCGACCCGCCTGGGGCCTGCAGGGGGGCTGGAGACAAAGAAGCTGTGGCGCCGCCGCGGTCGCCGGGACCGTCCCCTCGGGGACAGCGCCGCGCCCCCTCCCGCCCCGGCTCGCGCGCCGCGGTCGCCGCCGCCGCCGCGTCTCGCCTCACCGGTAGCTCACGGCCCGGGCTCCCGCGCCTGCCCGCTGATACAGTCGAACGAACAAAGGCAGGAGGCGGGCGCTGGCGTCCGAAGCTCGGGCCCTCGGTGGCTCGCTGGCCCACCGGCGGCTCGCTGCTTGACTAAACCTACAGGCGAAGGGAGGGAGGGAGCGAGCGAGCGAGCGAGCGAGCCAGCTGCAGCCCAGGCGCGCGCCCTCCCGCCTTTCCTCCGAGAGGCGAGGCCGCCCGGCCCGCAGCCCGCCCGCCCGCGCACGCCCCTCCCCCTCTATTCGCCACAACATTGTAGTAAATTTCTATTGGACGGCGCGGGAGGGAAGGAGGGGGCCTGGCTCGCGGGGCGCCAGCCCATTGGCTGAGGCTAAGTTCTGGCTCTTCAGGTCTTCTTTCCCCCTCCCCCTCCCCCCCCTCCGGTAAGGACAGGGGAGGGTAAGGAAAAGGAGGAGGGGGAGGCGAGGGGCCTAGCCGCTGTGCGCATGCGCAAGTCGGAGTCTGGAACCCTAGTCCAGGTATTCCTGGCTCCAGCAGCACCCTCCTGGGGAATAAGAAGTGTCCAGTGCCCTGAAAACAAGCGAAACATTCCTGCCGGTGGAGGACAGGAGAGTGGCTGAGATCTGGAAATCACAAGGAAAAAGGAACTCACATTCAATCTACCCCAGTGAACTGTCTCATGTACCCTGTAAGCTCTGGTGAGTCACCTAGATTCTCTGGATTTCAGTTTTCCCATCGATTAGCTTGACCATCTCTAAAGTGCCTTTCCAACCCTGACATTCGATAAGACTTTACTTCTCTTGGCAACCCTGGTAAGGCCCGAAATGGAATCTAAAGAATTAAGAACTGGCCAAGATTTCATCTGCCTTTTCTGCATTTCATATTCTTCTAATTCTTCCCTGGTGGAATTCACCTTCCAAGATGAATTTAGTATGGCCCTGATAATTGCACTAATGTTGTATTTATTTCCCTGCAGAAGTTTCAGAGGGCTTCATCACCCATCACACTTCCTGCTAGACTCGTCTGGGCCGGAGTCCCACAGAGCAGGAAGACAGCTCTGTTTAAAGCACAATATCCAGAAAGTAAAATACGTTGTGGTATTACATTTTAGAGATGAGCAGAGACTTCCACATGCCAGCTAGACTGTCTCAGCCTTGGGAGGCAGGATGCCTGGATTCAAGGCTCAATCTCTGCCCTCCCTAGTTGTTGGGCCTTCTCTGTGCCTCAGTTTCTCACCCTATTCATTTAAGAGAATAATAGTTCCCACCTCACAGAGTTACTGCAAGAATTATTAATCATATATTAACTAAACTATGTAAAGGGCTTAGCACAGTGCCTATCACTTAGTAATAAGTGTTATTACTGTTTGGAGACTAGAATATCAACTGAGAGGTGTGCAACTGGCTGATGTAATAACATTTGCTAAGCATTCAATTGTTGGGTCTGAGCTGGGCATATTATATAAAACTTGTTTTAAACATCATACAACTCCTTCAAGACCAAAGATTTTTAGCTAAAACAGCCTCCATTTGTACACCTTTGCCTTGCTTTAATCATCAAACTTTTCTCAGCATTTACCCTTACCTGACTTTCTATTTTTGTGTGTTTCTAGTACAAGAGCTTGAACTCAGGGTCCTGGGCACCATCCCTTAGCTTTTTCACTGAAGACTGGTGCTCTACCACTTGAGCTCCATTCTGACTTTCTGGTGGTTAATTGGAGATAATGTTGTATAAACATTAAACCATAACCCTCTTTTTTTTTTTTGGTCAGTTGTGGGGCCTGAACTCTGGGCCTGGGCACTGTCCCTCAGCTCTTCAGCTCAAGACTAGCACTCTACCACTTGAGCCATAACATCACTTCTGGCTTTTTCTGCTTAGGTGGTGCTGAGGAATTGAACCCAGGGCCTCATGCATGTAAGGCAAGCACTCTACCACTAAGCCACCTTCCCAGCCCAATCTCTGCCTCTTTAAGTGGTTAGGATTATAGGTATCAGCCACTGGCTTCTGTCTATTTATTCCTTTATTTATTTATTATTTATTGCCTCTCTCAACTAAATTGTTGTAATCTAGATCCTAGAGACCAACCAGCTCATGACGAGGACTTTATCCCTTTTGTTCATCTCCCAAAAGCATGAACATATTCAATATTTGTTTGATAGGCAAATGGATTGTCTATTTTCCCTGTTTTCTAATAGGGAAAATGAGGCTTAGTAAATTCAGGTAACTTTAGCCAGGGTCATTCTGTATACTAGAGGCGAAGCACATGTTCATAAACACTTTGATCCCAACTATCAGTTCTCAAGTTCAGCTGTGCTTTTGATTCAGGGAGTGCTAGTCCTACCACTTCTGTTCCTCAAAGACTTCCTTCACCTGTTAGGAAAATCTGGTATCATGAAGGATGAATACTGGAGATCAGTCCCCAGACAGCACACCACTTCTACCACCAAATCCAGATTCATGAAAAGTAACATTCTCTGTGCCTTGAAGTAATGGCCAATGGCAAATATTTGAAGATGCTTGGTAGATATACAGAATTTGTAGTGTTTAATAATTATCCTAATTGTCACCCTGAAAATAAGTGGAGATAATAAGGCTAACAGAAGGTTAGACAAAAGCAGATGTAAATCACTGTTAGCTTGAGAATGTCATGCAATGTCATATTAAAATCTGTTGGTCTAAGTTTTGTAAATCCTGGATTCCAGTGCTAGATTTTAATTCTTAGCCTGGGGATGAAAGGGCTTTGTAAACTAAAGTACCATTCACACATGAGTTGTTGTTTTTTTTAATAAATTATTCATCATTACCTGTTAGGCTAAGTGTCCTATCTCTGAGCATAGCTGGGTCCATCCCATTCTGGAAACTGGAGATACAAATAACATCCACTCTGAAGACAGAGAAACTATCCTTACTCCTAAGTCCCATCTGCCAAACCAGACATCCAGTCCCAGCTCACCCTGTAGAGGCTGCTTTGGGTACCAATCACCATCTCTGAGACTAATTTCCTAAGCGGAAATGGCTCAGATCCATGCTCACTTGTAGGTGGAGGCTATGCTGTGCTTCAAGGCTCGGGATGGAGTCTCTAGGGGCCATCTCTATCCCGCCTGCCAGCTGAGCCTGCCACTTCCTCCTCCACCACTCCTGGGGTCCTTCCTAGGGAATACAGGCCCCATTAGCTGCCTATTAGCCCCTGGAGGGGTCAAGGACACTAAGCAGAAGGCAAGAAAGGAAGTTTAAAAAAAGAGAGAAAGAAAGAAGAAAGAAAGAAAGAGAGGAAAGAAAAAAAAGACAGCATGAAAGGATCTTAAGCCTTCCCCTTCACAATCTGAGCTCCAGCAAAAGCAAACACCAGTGCAAGAAAGAGTATAAAATTAATTGGTAAAATTAGGTGGTAACCCAGTGGAGTGAACCAGGGAAGGTAGATGAGACCTCTGATGACCTGGAAGAAATGAGATTGGAAGACAGAAGGGTCAGGGTGGGGGAGTTAGAGTGTAAACTGTACCCAAATCTGGGACATAAGCAGATTAGGGACACAGCTGGCCTGAAGTCCCAGTGATAGGGCTCATGGAAAACATTTGTTGTGGTGAGCAGCAAGCAACGAAGAGGGCTTTTAAAAGCTGGGCCCATCTACAGAGTGTTCTGAATAGTCACTTCAGAATAAAACCAATCCTGGCACCAAAAGCACATGAAGAGTAGAGCCTTCCTTTCTTGCCTATGGTCATAAAATTGCCATCACTGTAGACCTTCGAAGCCCAAATGGTAAATCAAACAAGCTATAGCAGGATGGGAATTACTGCTCAGACAGTGGAATATCTTTCTAGGGGATTGTTTTTTATTAGGAGTACTTGAATTATTCATAGAGATTTTTAGAAAATGTAGTTAAGTAAGAATATAGTTAAGTAATATAAACCACCATAAAGTCACCAATCAGGGAAAATTACCATCAAGCCAGTGCCAGTGGCTCACACCTGTAATCACAACTACTCAGGAGTCAGATCTGAGGATCTCTATTTGAAGTCAACCCAAGCAGAAAAATCTGAGAAATTCTTATCTCCATTTAACCAGCAAAATGACAAAAGTGGAGGTGTGACTCCAGTGGTAGACTGGAAAAAGCTAAGTGAGAGTCAAGTCCCAATACCAACTCCAACTCCACCCCTACACACACAAAAACAACATAAGGCAGACATCTGCATCATCATTTTTAACAAAACTATCCAGTAATTGTCTGTAATAGTTAACCCTCTTATTGGATGGCTAGGTTGTTTACCATTTTTCTCTCTTAACAATGGTTCTTAACAAATGTCCTTTATCTAAATTAGATAATAAAGATTAAAACTAAGCTGGGCACCAGTGTCTCACACCTATAATCATAGCTACTCAGGAGGCTGAGATCTGAGGATCATGGTTCAAAGCCAGCCCAGCCTGGCTAGGAGACTCTTATCTCCAATAAACCACCAGAAAACTAGAAGTGGCACTGTGACTCAAGTGGTAGAGTGCTCGCCTTGAGCTAAAGAACTCAGAGACAGCGTCCAGGCCCAGAGTTCAAGCTTGCTTTGCAAGCACAGTAACTGCTGGGTCTCGGGCTTAGGCTTAGGTTTGCCTAGAATGCACAATACCCTGGGTTCAATCCCCAGCACCACACATGCGTGTGCTAAAAATACTAACAAGTGCATTTATGAAGTTTTTGCTATGTGTTGAGCCCAAGTCCTTTATGATACATTATCACACTCAGCTTCATAGCAACCCTGGAAAGTATTATGAGCCTCATGTACCCATGAAGAAACTACAGCTTAGGCTGTCAGGTGATCAGCTCCGTGACGCCAGTAGCCTCTATTACGTACTGTTTTCATATCCCTTTCAGGAAAGCAGCTTAGAAATTATATAAATGAACAATGCCAACATCCCTGGGGAGAGGCTGTTGTGACTGCTGTTGATGGTAGTCGTGGGACATCTACAGAAGGTAGGTGGGACATCTACAGAAGGAAGCAAGGATCAGACCTCCCGTTACCCTCTCAAGCCTATTCTCTCACCAGCTGGAGGGAGCCTGTGACCCTGATCCAACAAAGCCTCCAGCTTACCCAAGCTTAACCCACTAAATCTCCCTCCCTAGGGCAAGGAACATTCTCAGGTCCTAGAGGGTTTCCCAAGAAACAGAGAGGCTGGCACCACCTACAAGCTGAGGCCCTTTTAAAACT